ATTTTATTCCAAATTAATGAAGTTACATGATAAATAAAGCAAAAGATCGCCATTATGGACAAATACTACCAAATAAATAAACATTTAGAAAACCTGAAAACTTTCTAAAAATAAAAGCTCGGAACCAGCCAGTGTGCTAACACTGGCCACACACCAGCCTGAAATGGAAAAAGGGCTATTCTTCCTTTGGCTGTGCTGGCGCTCCAGAGGGAGGAAAGGACAGCAACACTGATTGAGTCTGTGCTGGGTGCCAGACCCACAGACAGGCGCCTTCACTCATTAGATCCAGCTCCAATTCAGCTGTCACTGTATTTTGTTATTTTACCAGGAGGAGGTAATCACTGGGTGAAAGGCTATTGGGCAACAGAGTATTCACATCATATCAAAGTATTATCACTGCAGAGACCCCTTGTTAATTGCCCAGGGGAGGATGTACCTTTACAAAGGAGAGGCTGAGAGGTCTTCCAACCACCACCACCACCAAGTCATCAACCTTATTAACACTAATACTGGGACAGCCTAGTGTTACATGCCTCCAGGTGGAATGTAACATGAAATATACAGCGCCGCTTATGGCATATTCTTGGCATAAAACAGGGTATCTGAATCTAATAACTGCTCCAGACCAAACTACTCCAGTTTGGAGCAGTTACTAGAAACAGGGGTCAATGAAACAATTCAAACACCGCAAGGAAATAACCAGACAACTCCTGAATGTGGGGCACTCCACACAACAAGCAGCCAGGACTCTTCAAAAAGTCAGAAACATTAAAAAAAAAAAAAAAAAAAAAAAAAAAAAAAAAAAAAAAAAAAAAGGTGGGGGTATGAGTATGTATAGGAGGAGATTCTTCTAGAAATAAAAGTGACTGAAAACATAACCAAACACAATGTGTGGACCTTGATTGGATCTTAGTTTTTAAAAACTCCAGCTATAAAAGACTTGTGACATTTGGAGAAATGTGACTGTGGACTGGATATGAGGTGGTATCATGGAGTTATTATTAATTCTGAAGCATGATGATGAAATTGTGGTTATGTGGGAGACTGTCTTTATGTTGGGGAGACTTAGCTGAAGTATTTAGCAATAAAACGTGAGGCTGGTTGCAACTTACCTTCAAATGGCTCAGCCGAAAAAAAAAAAAGCATAAAGAGATAAAACAAATGTGACAAAATGTGAATAACTGCTAAATCTAGATAGACAGCAGACAGATATTCAGTGTATTATTTTTCATCTTTTCTACGTTTGACATTTTTAGAGATAAAAACCAGAATGGGGTGGGGGGAGGTGATCATAGGCAAGGTTGTGCCAACATGAGTCTGTTCACACAGAGCACACAGGGAGGCCAGTTTACCTGCAGAAAACCCTAGAAACTCTCCTTTAAGATATCAAAGCTGGGTGGACTGGTTTGTGATTTTACTTTGGATCGCAGGAAAAAAGCTATCACTTCTCAATGTCAGCAGTGTTTTTGTAAAACACGGACACACTTCTCCCAGTTGGCTAGCCCCCATGTCTATAATAAAAATAGGCAGGCAGATTTATCCAAGCTCTCAAAATGCTTGTTTTATTAAAAACCAATTCTGTCTACACTTCAGCCCAGAACCCTGACTGTGCAGGGTGAGGGAGGCTTGAGTTTGCTTTACATTCACATGTCCTGAGAGTAAATACCCCCAAATGCCAACACACACACTGGCCAACACGACCTTTGGCTGACAGCTGGGTGGCTACCCTGTACTGGAACGGTTTGCTGAGCTCTAGGACTGCTCAGCTCTGTTCTGCTGAGACCCTAGCTGGGCAACTTTGTCAAGTCACAGACTATAAACAAAGCCACCAAAACGAGGAATTGTTTGGCAGGCAGACTGTGACAAAGCCCCCTTGTTTAAAGCATTTCTTTCTATGCAGATACCTAGTAGACACTTCAGAAAATTCTAGGTGGAAAGTATCTTCATATGCTTGACTCTGAATATGTTTGCCTTTCCTTGCGTACACAGGCTACCTTATTAGCTGGAGCCTCTAGAAAGCCTGCCAACTCAACAAAGCAGTGCTGACACTGGGACATGCGTATGGGTGGTGGCCTGTAACAGTCTGTGTGTTTATGCAGCATGAGGAACGGGCTACCATGCATGACCTGGCATATACGTTCCCAACAGCCTGGACGGAAAGGGTCTATAAACCCTACACAGTAAAGCAAGAAGTCTGTCAAAGCATCAGAATGAGAAATCCTTGCAGAACCAGAATCTTCCCCAGAGACATTAACTATACACGTAATCTTCCTTCAGGACAACAGCCCCCACAAGGTGAAAAAAACACAGCAATGTGTAAGTGGAGAAAAAAGTAAATTTTCTGGATAGAAAAAGGAACATATAGACAGTGGCCTGAGGAGTCACTTAAATCAGAGAGGTGAAGTAAGGAAAATTACCTCACAGCTTGTCTGCAGGGAAGTGGGTTCATTCTACAGTCAGAGCTGGTCCAACAGGAAACAACAGTATTTGCTGTCAGGACTGGGGACGCATTCCAGAAGAGAGGCAAGGAGCCCACTGTCTCAATGGCCACAGGTACTCGGAAGGGAAAAAGACTGTGACCTCAAAAACAGCCCCTGAAAGGATAGGGGTGTTTAAACTGCTCAGAACAGACTGGCTGGTATTTTAAATGTTTGAAGATGATAACAGAACTGAGGAAGGAGGGAGTGGCCTCACTTTAACATACTGACTTCCCTTTCTCAAGGGCTGCAAGGGGGAGCCTCATCAGGGGAGCCTGGCCTTTACCACATGCCCCTCCTGGCAGCTCCGCCAGACTGAGAAGGCAGACTCTGACGGGGAGGACCAGAAGCCCAGGACAAAGCCAAATGGCTTACAGGTGTACTTCCTTCCGGCTACCTCCATCCCTTTCCTCTTCCACCTTAGAGATTGCTTCCTCTTCCCAGCAGTTCTATTTCAACAGGACCAAGAAATTTGAGAGATAAGAATGGCCCCACCCTGACTGCATCCCAGTCAGTGGGCTTCTCCTTGTCTAGCTCCTAGAATGCAATTGCCCTGGCCTGCTCTGTCTGCTTCTAGGCAGGGGGAGGAGGCTCTTGCTTTTACCTCCATTTATGTGTCAGGGCAGACATGGCTCTAGCCTTTCCAACTCTTCCCCCCACCACTCCTACCCCACATCACCCCAGGACACACCAGCCATTTCCACGAGCTCTGTCCAGGTCAAGCCTCACACTGAGCAAGAGACTGCTTTCTAGTCCAATCTCTGCACACAGAAAGCATCAACCACAGTGGGATTTGCACATGTGCTCACACTGAAGATTAAGTAAAGAAGTGAGTATGTCCCTGAAGACTCCACTCTGAACACATTCAACCCGGCACACTTCTCAGCTGCGAGCAACTCTGCCCTGTCATAATCACATTTCCTTCTCTGAATTGCAAGTGTCAAACCCTAGGGGATAAGCTGGGCCATCAGCATCAATCAAACCCATGGAAACAGCTAGAGCTAGGCTAAGAAACCTCAGGTTAGGGAGCAAAATAAAAATGTAAACTACAGTTCCTTCAGAGAGAAAGGAAGGGTGTCTGAAGGAGAGAGAAGTAGAAGGGGTGTGAAGACCCACTCACCATGTCTTGAAAACACACACATACAGTACATGTGCTCAAGTCAGCAGCGGATTTTGGCTAAGTTGCCATAAATTATTACTGTGGGAACAAGTGGGTATTTGTTTAGCAGAGAAAAAGCAAGGCAAGTTGGGATTAAAAAGGAAAGAAAAAGTGGCAAACATAGACAGATGTAAGACTTATCAAGGCCAGGCCACCGGAAAAAAAGCGGTATCCATCATCAGAGACTCTTTAGGGTTACCTAAAGCCTGAGAGCATTCACTCAAAGAAACCCCAAGTTATAAACAAGCAAGGTGGCCACTCCAGCAACTGAACCCTAAAAGACATAGGGACACAGCTGCAGGATCCCTCCTGAGTACCCCCAAAGCATACTTTCTGCAGGAACTCTCCACACTGCCCACACAAGCACAGAGGGGAAATTTTGAGAACAAGTCAATTTTGGAATTAATGACTCTGCACAATTATAACCTTTCCTTCCCTCTAAAACCCAACCACAAGGGCACTCCTAGGCTTACATGCCGAACAAAACTTCTTGTTACTTTAAGAAGGGAAGGACGTACACGAAGAAAAACAGAAACCCCTACCTCACAGCTCACATGACAACAGGGTGAGGGCTTCCTTCTCTATTCAGCCACTAGGTTGCCCAAGTTTCATGGAAAAGGAAACTTAAAATATAAAGAATAAAAGTGGGTTGGGAAAGGAAACAGCCAGGGGAAGCTATAGATGCAGCTTATTAGGAAAGCTTGGGACAGAGATTGAACAGGTGGGCCTGTTCTGGAAGAAAGGAGAGGAAGGCAATCTTGGGAAGAAGGCAGTCTAGGTGGTCCTGCCCTGAAAAAGGGGAAAATAGAGCTGAGGGAGAAGGGCCACGGAGAGGGAGGCGGGGGCTGGGAAACGAAAGGCAGGGACCTAACAACTCCAGGTGTTGAAAGGGATGCAAAGTAGCAGGATTTAAATGTGAACGGGTGAATCCTCGAAGAGTGAAGGAGCAGAAAAGAGCTCAGTATCCCACTGGGGATTGAGGGATGGGGGTTCTAAGCACGAAGAGCCCCTGAGACGGGACGGACAAGGGGATGTCACCCTTGGGGGTCATGACTCCAGGCTGGGAAGTGGGGTAACAATTCGAAATGGCAAGGTGGGAGGTGGGCGAATTTTAGGCTGGCGTCTCAGAAGACAGACATTTAAGGTGGAAAGGGGAAGGGTCGCTCCCGGCTGGAGGCTACGGCGAGTAGGCGAGGGGCTCAGACTAGGCATACCCCCTAGTGTGGGAATGCCCAGCCTGGGTTTGCGGGGGAGGAAGGATTCGGGTCCCCAGGCTGGAACTCTCCGCGCAGGAGGGACCCCAGGGGCGTCTGGGCCGCGGCTGCCGCGCAGGGCCTCAGGAGGGGAGGGGGTCCCAGACTCACGCATTAACGTGCTGAAGGCCACGACGCCGAGCAGCCCCTGCAGGAAGATGCCGAAGCTGTGCATCAGCGCGCCGCTCTCGCAGCGGCCCGCCCCGGACGCGACTGTGGAGGGCGGCCCGCCCGGCAGTCCGCGGCTCGCGTTCCCGGCGGGGCCCTGCATCGCAGGCCTGGCGGGAGGGGCGCGGGGGCCCAGGGCCCGCCCGGCCTCGCTGCCTGCCGAGGCCGCGCCGCCAAACCCGCAGCCGGGAGCCCGAGCCCGAGCCCAAGCCCAAGCCCAAGCCCGAGCCGGTACCTCCGCCCGGCGGCCGACTCCGCGCCGCGCGTAACCCGACGTCTGAGACCGCGGCGCCTAATTGGCGCAGCCCTGGCTGGGGGCGGGCCTCGGCCGCGACTCCTCCCCCCTGAGGGGCAGGTCTCCGACCGGCCCAGGGGGCGGGGTCGCGGGTCCCACTCCCGCCTCGAGCAGCGCCACGCCCGCAGGTAGACAGGCCAGGTGGGCCGCCAGCGCAGACCGGAATGAGAGCCGGGAATCACAAGCTCCAGGTCCAGAGGTAGGAGCTAGGACGGCCTGTGGCCAAATTATTTTTCCCTCTAAGGCAAATCCCTTATATCCCGGAGAATTTATTAACATTCCTGGATTCCACCCTCAGAGATCCCGATTCAGTAGTTGTGGGGTGGGGCCCAATAGTTTGCAGCCTGGATTATTCTGAAGCGAGTGAATAAGGAAAACAATCTAAGACTGAGCACAGGAGTCTTCCTTCCAACCCAGACATTAGTCTTTTTCCTACTTCCCTAGCTCAAGGCTTATCGAGTCTATTTTCTTTTTTTCATAGACATAATTTAAATGATCACCTGAATCCAATCACTTTCATTTTGAAATATACAACGTTTCACACTGAAAACCTGACATGCACATATCCCACTTTATTCACTTAGGGTGCACAACTATCTTTTGAGCATAAAAGACAAATGGTTGGTATTTGCCAGGCTCCAACTCCCCCTGCACAGACTCCCATTTAACCCTTTCCAACTCCTCAGAACTTGCACTCTGCCTTTTCCAAGAGCCCGAGTCCCCATTCTCTCATCCAACCTTCCGGGTCCAGTCTAGGCTCTCTCAGGCAGGACACATCTTGTTGGTGCTCTAGAGCCCCTGATCTTCCTGCTGCAGAACGTCAGTGAACACATGGTGTGAATCCAGTTGATGCTGAGCTACATGTTTTCAACAGTAAATATCATCTCTAGGAAAGAGTTTCCCTATTAAATAGGCCCCCCCATTCCAATTACCTAAGAGGGTTAAATGCTATCTAAAAGCTCTCTTGGTGAACAGGAATATTAACCTGATTAGAGAATAAAAATGCAGTTCTCCAGCCTTCTCTTACATTTTCACACCTCTATGCCTTTGCTGCATGGATGCCATTCCCTTTTCCCTGCCCCATGAACTGCTCCTCATGTGTCAAGGCCTACCTGACCTCTCTCTTTCCCTCTTGCTCCCAGATTACCCTGTGTGTACCATTCCACCAAAACTTCTCAGACTGCTAAGTTTGACAGCTGTAGAAATGTCTCCCTCCTACAGCTATGTGTGAGCCTCCTGAGGGCAGGAATGGTTTTTATTCACCCTTCAATTCAAATTCAACATAGTGCCTGGCACAGAGAACATGCGACAAAATGCTTAATTTAAATGGAATTTTAATTTATAAAATTTTAAGCTCTCCACAAGTACTGGCCGTGGGCAAATACAGAAAATCAGATTAAGAAAACAAATGGATAAGGGAAAATTAAAATTCCATGACTGTCTTTATTCTAAGAGGGATCTTATGAGGATGCTCAACAGTTAGCAGTTCACGTTTAGAGAGAATCAAACAAGAGGCTACATCTTAAAGCAGAAGAGACTGTAGTTGGGCGTAGGGAGATTATTGATTGAAGACACAGGCAGCTCAAGGAAAACTGCACACAGAGCTGAAAAGTGATGTTTTTGACAAAGAATTGTTCTGCACATCCAGCTGTGGAGGAATCCTTAAGGCTCACAGAGGAACAAACAAGCAGTCGTCAGAGATCAGAGGCAGAATCCCCAATGCCAGGAGCAGGGTTGCTGTGGAGAAATTCTGCTCTTCCTATCTTTCCTGAACTGGAATTAAAAAGCACCTAAATCTAGAAGGGAAAGGTTGAGACAGCAAGAGAGGGGAAAGAATTCTGGAATTTTATTAAAGTAGGAAGGAATTTCTCATCCATTTGGAAATGATTCTCTGAGGTCCCACTGGAAAGAGTTTTGAAAAATTTACTCTGGCCAAAATGCCTTCCTTGTTGTCAAATCAGCACAAAGTTAAGGTTAAACATAGCTTAAGACCTGTTTTCCTTAGTTTTCTCACAACCACTTAAAACTGTCATAATGTACCACAAGTTTATATACAATCATATTTACAAAAAAACACGCAAAATATTAATCCAAAATAGTTTTTTTTTAATCCTTTGAAATTATACCATCAAACTTGATGGGAGTTATTTTATTAGGTATTCTTGTGCATACTTAAGTGTACTTTTATCTTCAATGCATAACTTTTGAAATTAAGAGGAAAAACAGCAAGGAGGAAGGATACAATGCAATAAGCATTTGATTTTGTTCTAAATGAGCAGCTTAAAAAAAAGGCAAAATACATTAAACAAAGTGCATCAGTTCCAAGTCAGTATTAAAAAAGAGGCCTAAGGACAGTGCTGGAACCAGCCAGGAGTCCCTCCCTGGCAGGCCTCTGATTGTCTTTTGAGAATATTCAATGAAAAACAAACAAACAAACAAACAAACCAACCAAAAAAAAAAAAAAAAAAAAAAAAAAAAAAAAAAAACCAAAAAAAAAAAAAAAAAGAAGAAGAAGAAAGGAAGGGAGGGAAAAGGGAAAATAAATGAGCACTTAAAATCTCAAGAGAAACATTCAAACTACCTTCTCCAGAGATTCTTGCAAAAGGAGCTAAGGGACTGCCCAACTTTAATTTTGCCTAAGCTTTGTAACCTCCCTCAATCATCTGCTTTGTGACTTGATTTGCCCTAAAAGCCTACCCTCATCCTTTCAGCACTTTTGTCCACCTCCATTCTGCTAAGCTAGGTATGCAGTTAGATTGAATAAACCATGTAGAAACCCTTAGGCCTGAGTTTCCACACATCCTGAGAACAGGCACCCCCATTAGCAATGGTGGCACCATTTCACTAGAAGGCACCATTTGCCTCCAGAAATAATGGGAGAGGCTCTTGCCTCCCACTGATCAGGGTCCATGCTTTTCTGCTGGTGTTGGAGACTTGTCCCGCAAGGCTGTGGCTTCTCTCTTAAACCAGTCCTTTGTGATAGGCCATAGCACCAGGACAGACCCAAAATAAGTCAAAATAAATATTAAGTCAAAAAAGACGTAAGAGGGAAGTTTTAGGCCTACTTCTCTATCTCCCCAACTCTCCACTCCTGGTTCTGCTGGTTCTTGTGAAAATCTCAGGCTTCTTAGATACCATGCCCAAGAAAATGACTCTGCAGTGCATTTGCCACCAACCACCATCTACATCTCCCCATAATGCTGCCCTCAGAAACAACGCTGCCTGTGTGGTCTGGGACAAGCACTGAAAAAACATCCCTGGGACCACCCTTGGAGTGGGCCTGGAACCAGATTCGTTTGGACTGAGCATTGAATTTAAAACTTATGCCCAAACTCCAAGTCATAGGTAGCTTGTTTGGATAAATTCAAGTTTCCAAAGTATGCACATTCTCACATAAGGGGTGGGAGTCATCAAAACTCACTAGTAAAACATCTGAAGTGAACAAAGTCAAAGAATTATAGTCGCAAGAAAGTAACATTTCTTTTTGGTTTTGCAGGAGGCTCTCTGTCCTATTTCTGAGTCAGCACCATGATAAACATATGGTTGTTTACAGTGGACCCAGGGACAAGGAAATCCAAGCTTGAAAAGGGGGCATCTGGTCCCCACCAAGATTTATACTTCATTTTTTTCTAGTGATGCCTTCTTCTCATTCAGCTTCATAAGGCCAACAGATTTCCTACTGATAATGCAGAACACTTTTGAATCAGTGTGTGCACACACACGGCACATATTCAATACATAGGATCAGAGTTCAAATCCAAGGCGTGTTCCACTGTTGAGGCTAAACTAACAACTCTCTCAGAGCTTCTGTGGGAATCAACTAAACCAGTAAATGGTGTCTCAAATAGAACAATATTTGGTGACACAGGTGCCAAGAAAATATAATTGCCTGTGACAGTTTTCCCAATATTCCCAACTAGATGACCTGATGTTCTGTGTCCCTCAGAAACACTTTTTGGCTTGAGAGAGGGAAATGATTCTGAGTCCTACTCTTCCTAAGGCTTGCTAAAGCTTTTAAAATGTATTCAGGTACCACAATAGTGACTGAATTGGTACTAAAGAGTGAATAAAATGTATCCAGGTTCTCTGGAAGCTAAGGTCCAATTGTCTTCTCTCTCACAGTGAAAATAATTTTACTTCCAGGAGAAAAGGCATATTAAGGCTAAGTTCTGAACTAGTTTTCTATGTTTGCTTCTATTATAAATCAATAAATATTCACCAAGAAGTTCATCTTTTCCAGAGGTTGGTGTAAGTACCCTTCCCCGACCTCACATATCTATAACATAAATGCTAGGAGATACCTGCATTGCTGAAGAAAGGCAGATGGGGTGCAAGCTTCCATTAATGCATTCCCTGCATTAGCCACTTCAACTCTGCTTCAAATGAGAAGGATAAAGATGGTTTACAAAGGAAAGCAGCACAGTCCCCAGAAGCCCACAAAATATAGTCAAAAAGTCATAGAAAATCTTCATGGGCAGCAAAAGGGTTTCCCTAGCACACTAATGTAGCAGTACTAGTCTAATATTGGTCAGCCAGCTTTTCAAGGTCCAGGAGGATGAAATAGTCCATTAACCTGTCTTCTAAACTTGTCAATTCAGGGTAAAAAAAAAAAATGAGTCATGAGAAATTTTTTGACCTCCAACAGGCTGTGGGCCCAGCTGCAGGTGAAATCCAGACAAATACAGTTCCCTCACAATGTAACTGTTATAAATTTAAGAAGCTGGTCTCTCTAAAAAACAAAGTTCATGCACTTATGTGCAACATACCAACATTTTACCCCAACATGGTGAGCTATTATCTGGCTTGAACTGTTTCAGCATCACAGTAACCAGATCTTCATTGTTATCCAGCCCAGTCCCAACAGTTTTATGAGGTAAATGAAATCCAAATTTTAAGTTAAAAAAATGTCCTGTGCTAAATTCCCAAACAATTATCTTCGCTTACATAATACATGGGAG